AATTTCCTCTCGGTCCCCTGGCCTGCCGCGGTGATGTTATCTTGCTATCAGATGCCTGTCATCGGATGCTGGGCGACGTAAGAAAAAAAACTGGCAACCTTAATGGACTTTGCAAGCATATAAACTTTCCTTTTCAGTACAATTAGACGAGGTTTTGATAGCCTGCAGTGACTTGCCTTGTGTGTCACTGGACTCGTGTGTTGCAGTTGTGATTGATATTGTGAATTAGTTATTCTTTATTGTTATATTTTATTTTATGTTTTATTAAAATGCACACACGCACACACACACATACACACACACATCATACATGACATATGTTAGATATAGGTTATATGTATGTAGATATAATGTATATATATATATATATATATATATATATATATATATATATATATATATATATATATATACATATATATGTATATATATATATATATATATATATATATATATATATATATATATATATATATATATATATATATATATATATATATACATATATATGTATGTATATATATATATATATATATATATATATATATATATATATATATATATATATATATATATATATATATATATGTACATATATATATACATACATATGCATATATATATATATATATATATATATATATATATATATATATATATATATATATATATATATATATATATATATATACATATATACATATACATATATGTATGTATATGCGTGTGTGCTTGTATCCATGGTATACATTAATATATTCATCTCACTCCTCTGCATTTCCTTTTTATCAGTCATTCAAATTTATCTAACAGAAAAATAATACAAATAATCAAGTAAAAAAAAAAAAGACAGAAAAAATGCGTAAGAATCAAATGAAAGCAGGTTTTAAAAGCAATGAATTATGAAGGTCTTTTTCCTAACTCTTTTCTCGCTGCAATTCTTTCCCTAACTTCAAATACAACAGAAGTCCATCAACTTCATTACTTTGTTTTTTCGGAAAGTTTTGCGATC